TAAAGCCGTTTTCCCCTTGTCCCGGGCCTTCCTCCCCCTCTGACAGGGGTCACAGGATCGGCAGTACTGTCCGACAGTAACAAAGACCCCAGGCCAGTAAAAGCTCCATAGCAGCCTTTGCTGGGTACGCCAGGTTCCCTGGTGCCCTGGAATGTCATGTAAATAATCTAATTTGAAAAATTGATTACGTGGATGACTTGCATAGTGTATGTTCCATGACGGTCCTTTATTAACAGTTGGACTACAGTTCAGTCATGAGAAACTATTTCCATGACTTCACTCAAGGAAAGGCATTTTCCCTCCTGTAAATTTGATTATTTATTTATTTGTTTTTAAGGTTGCTGAAACCAGTCAAAGTGATACAAGTATTTCATCAGGAGAAACAAAGAGCAAAAGCAGCATTCACTTTCTTCCCAATGAGACAAAGCTAGTTTCTCAACCACACAACAAAGACTTAAATACCAAAGAAAAAAGTGATCCAGCTGTAGATGAGGATGACCTAGAGGGAGATTCTTTTTTTGATGATCCCATACCCAAACCAGAGAGAAACTATGGCTGGTAAGTAAACCGTGCTCCCTAGTTAACACATTTATTTTATGCTTAGTAGGTTTGGGTTAGAGGTGTCATTTGCACATAGCCTGTAGTAAAAGGTGGTGTGTGGGTGCACTGTAAAACATCCTGCTTGCACTGGTGAGTAATTTTCACCCTTTTGGGGATGTTGCATAGTTCCTTCTGATACCAAGCCAACTGATCTGGCTGGTGGGGTTGGAGAAGGGCAGGTGGAGCCTTGGCTCTGCTAAAACCTGCTCTTTCCAACCCATTTGATGCAAGGAATTAGTATCTGAGGTACAAACCCTATGCTCCTTGAGCCCTGGAGATGCAGCTGTGGGCAACTTTAAAGTAGCTGCACGAGTGGGAGGGGAGAATCTTTATTTCTCTGCCTAACTTCGGAAGAGTGGCAGAATCTAACCCATAGTATTGGAGTAGTTAAGAAAATATTGTTAGTACACACACTCACTCACTCTTCATACAATACAAGTATTAGGAAAGACACTTTTGCTCATGGAAAAAGTTCCCTTATATAAATCAGCGTTCACATTTATTACCCAGTGTGTCCAAGCGGACTTGTTTTCAGTAGAGTAATTGTTCTTCTGGAACATGTCAGCTTTGCAGGCCCAAAGATTTTAGGGCACTTTGTGGTTTTGTAGTGTCTGATGATGAGTGAAATGATATTTTGAAGTGCAAGTCTGACTGAAAGGTGCAAAGGTGTCAAAGCCCACATTATCATTCCCTTGATCTTGCTGCAGCTCTGAGCAGAGCCATTTCCACTGTGCTGCGTTAGAGCAACTTTAAAGTTGTACTAACTTTGGGTGGGCCAAAAATGCACCTGAGGATTGATGTAGCAGGAGGTTGCCCCATCCATGCCCACTCTTTCCCTTTTACATTGGCAACAGACAGCAAGGTGGTCTAATCCAGTGGCTCTCAACCTTTCTAGATTACTGTACCTCTTTCAGGAGTTTGATTTGTCTTGCGTACCCCCCCAAGTTTCACCTCACTTAAAAACTGCTTGCTTACAAATCAGATATAAAAATATAAAAGTGTTATCACTGTTGTTACTGAAAAATTGCTTATTTTCTCATTTTTACCCACATAATAAAATTTAATCAATTGGAATATAAATATTGTACTTACGTTTCAGTGTATATGGAGTAGTATAAACATGTTATTTTAAGAAATTTTAGTTTGTCCTGACTTCACTAGTCCTTTTTATGTAGCCTGTTATAAAACTAGGCAAATGTCTAGGTGATTTGATGTACTCCTTGAAAGACCTCTGCATACCCCCAGGGGTACACATACCCCTAGTTGAGAACCACCGGTCTAAGCCCTCTTATGTTGGCCCTGCAGTATCAGAGGATCCTGGTGTGGCACAAAGTAATCCTGGTGTGGCACATGCTAGGAGGATCCTGGTGTGGCACAAAGTAATCCTGGTGTGGCACATGCTAGGAGGATCCTGGTGTGGCACAAAGTAATCACACAGATCATTCTCCCCTCTATTTCTAATAAACTGGCAAACTCCTTTCTCCTTTCAGAAAGGGATTATTTATGACTGTTATCTAGTGGGAAATAAAAATTACAAAATATGCTCCTATAATATATTTAAAGAGCAGCTGACTTCTCATGAAAAATATTGAACAAATGCATTAGAAAGAACTCTATTGTTTTTTGATTATTTTTTCATTTTTATCAGTAGCCATATCAGGATTAAAATAGCATCTTTGATTTACTCCTGCTTATTTAGGAGCTTAAGTACTAATTGATTGTAACATCATGTTAATTTCTACAGCCAACTGATTGTGAGGTCATAAACTGGGATAAAACAATAGGTGGGAATACCAGTGTCAGAGAGATGTAATAATTATGCATGATCTTTAAACTGGCAGCTTTAAAATATTAAAATGAAACTTTAAAAGGAATTTGTTCCTCCAATCATTGAATCTGAGATGATGATAGTATCTTTCAAAGCAGGTAGATTCCCAGGATTGTTGCAATTTCCTACATTTTTATCTTGCTGGATTACCTTGGCTTTTAACTGACATCATGGTTCATAAATAAGGCTAAGTTTTTGTCAATGATATTTTTAGTAAAAGTCATGGACAGGTCATGGGCAATAATGAAAAATTCACGGAAGTCCGTGACCTGTCCTTGACTGTTACTAAAAATACCCATGACAAAATAGGTAGCCTAGGCAGCTGCAGGGGGTGGGAGAGGCTGGGAGCTCCAGAGTCCCCCTCTGCTGGTGTCTCCAAGCTCTGGGGATCCCCCCCTGCCACCCGGCACGGGCAAGAGCTCTGAGGATCCGCTGGGAGCTGCCGGGGATCCCCCCTGCCACCTGCTGCGCCTAAAGTCACAGAAGTCTTTGGAAGTCATGGATTCTGTGACCAAATCGCAGCCTTATTCATAAGTTAGAATAACATGTCCAGTGCATCTGTGTTTAATTACTGTCCTTGAAAACTAAATATAACAATCATGAGTGCAAATTCTACAGTTAATAGACCCGTGTTTGTAATCTAATAATTCAAAACAAAAGACAAAACGTTAGAAGAACTTAATAGGTTTGTGCAATAATTGTGCAATACAATTAACCTATATTTATAAATGTAAGGAAATGCAATAAAAACAATTGTTCAGGAATTTTACTACTACAGTATTACATGAGTACTCAAGTGGTCATCAGTTGTTAAAAGCATCAAAGGCCAATGACTTGAATGGTAATATTTATTTATAATTGCTACCTGAAAATGCTTGAAAGATAAGAGTTCAAGAAAAGAAGCCTTTGTTATGCAGCAAAACTAAATTGCCTTGTATGCCATGGCAGAAAAGAAACAAGATTTGTCAAATTACATGGATTATGCTAATGATCTCTTTTCATATCATTATTACATTTTTAGACTTGTGTATCTTAATTTGATTTATGTAGCATGCAGATATTGATAGCAATTCCATAGTAAGGCATCTTTGTGCATGCAAATTGTGGTAAATGAATTAGCAAAATGCTAATTAGCAAGGCTCTACAGATTTTAGGACTTATTATATGTGTAGTAAAATAATAGTTTGTAATCTTCCGCCACAGTGTATCATATTTCATGTGTATGTACATGTAACATGGAGTAGTCATAAATTTATACAACTTGTTTAAATGTACATTAAACTCACCAAAACCATAGAAAGTTAATTCAAAATCAGATTCTGCTCAGACATCAAACAAAAACAATGAGATGTTTGTTTTTTTTATATGAGGGTTGGAAGGGACCTCAGGAGGTCATCTAGTCCAACCCCTTGCTTAAAGCAGGACCACTCCTCAGACAGATTTTTACCCCAGTTCCTTAAATGGCCCCCTCAAGGATTGAACTCACAATGCTGGGTTTAGCAGGCCAATGCTCAAACCACTGAGCTATCCCTCCCCCCCTGTAAAATACATTACATGAAACCAGTCACAACTTGGTCACGGAAAATATTTTCTGGGAATGGTGAAGATTAAACTTAGACTTTCAGTGTGCTTGTTTGCATCTTTTATTTGTAAATAATGTGTTAATCTATATTCCATTCCTAAATGTAATGGCAGCTAAACCAGTTTATCATGTGGCGATGAAAGAAATCCATTTTGCTGCAGTCTCAAGGGGCATGCTTTCTACAACATGACTGTTCCTAGTTTTGTTGAACAAAACTGATCATAATTCAAAAGCAGAAACTGTTAGATATATTTATTTATGCCTCAATCTTTTCCTCTTGGCTACATGGTATTTGTGGGGATAACTAAAGGCCCCCTGATAAAAATAGTGATACTGAAGAAGATGCAGGAGGTCTGTTTGTGACAGAAGGCAGGCAGAAATCCACGAATAGGTGAGAAAATAACTTTCTTATTGCATGTCTTGCTTGACACTTTTACCACCAACTTCCAGTAGAAAGTTTTTGGCCTTTTTTAGATTGTAGAGTAAATAGTTCCTTCACCTGATCTTTTGCGGCATACAGTATTGTTTCTAGGTGCATACATATTTAATGGATGGTAGACGAGAGAGTCACATATCTAGTTACAAATTGTTTCCCTTTTTAGGAAAACAGAGTCCAACAAACAAGGAGGAAGCCTTGCATCTCTTTCTGATGCACCCCCCCTAAGGAGTGGGCTAAGCTCCCTTGCTGGAGCACCTTCACTACAAGAGCCTGACAGTAAGTATAATATTGAAATCCTTTTGTATCTTGAGTAGGGCAGAAGAGAAGGGAGATGGACTTAGTTGATCTCGAGATCCCTTCCAGTCCTACGTTTATATTATTATATGTCTGTAAGTGTTTGCAGGGTTGGTTCTTAAAATTGGAATATAATATTAGCCTATAGGAAAATATACTAGACTTTATTGGTTGATGGATGTATTTAAGTATGCTCTTTTTTTTTTTTTTCAAACAATAACCAAACATATTTCTGATTTTAAATATTTTTTTGGTTACAGATGCAAATAGAAACTCTGTTTTGAAAGATCTACGCTTGGTGAATGCAAAATTTGGATCGCTTGAATTAGGCAAGTAGTTGTTGAGCATGAGGGAACTTAAACATCCTAGTTTTGATATGCCTACATTTGAGTTCCATTTCAGCTCCTCAAGGAAACTGAGACACTGAAATATACTGATACTGGGCCAAAACCTGCTGTCTTACTTTGGTAAAAGTTTCATTGGAGTCAGCAGGAGTCTTGCTTGAGTAAGAGAAGCAAGATATTCTTTATACAAAATTCCTAACTGGCAGGAATTATTTGTATGTTTCTACCAGAATTATTTTACACATACAACTGAAATTCAAGTCACCCCATGCGTACATTTTGGTGACAATTTTGTAGTTGGTTTGCTTGTCAGTAAGGTATTGTTGACTAGAACACCAGAGGGAAACCTACTGTAAGAAAAAAATAAAATGTCTTGTAAAGCAGCTTAAGATCATATGATACTAGCTTTTATGAAGCATTTCCCCATATTGCTATTAGTGTTACATAGTTAGTTACTTTTTCAGGAATTGTAATATATTCCTGGATGTATGCTTGATGACATCAGTGTCCAGTTACCATTGTTCTCAATTCTGTGGCAAAATATATAAGACGAGTAAATTTATCCAGCATGGAAATGCACCTCAGAATTAGTGTTCACTTAAGATCTTTATTTAGAATGGTAGCATAGGTTTTTAAGGCAGATTTTTTTTAAAGGCACAAGTGGAAGTTAGGCATGCAACTCTCATTGGCTTTCAGTGGGATTTAGGCACCTCTAATTGCCTTTTGTGTCTTTGAAATTCTCCCAATTATAGTATCAACATAGAATCCTAGAAATGTCCAGCCCCCTGCACTGAGGTAAACCTAGATTATCCCTGACAGATGTTTGTCCAACCTGTTCTTCAAAACCTTCAATGACACAGATTCCACAGCCTCCCTAGAAGCCTGTTCCTGAGCATACTGTTATGGTTAGAAAGTTTTTCCTAATATCTAACCTAAACCTCCCTTGCTGTAGAATAAGCCCATTACTTCTTATCTTACCTTCAGTGGACATGGAGAACAATTGATCGCTGTTTGCTTTATAACAGCCCTTAAGTTATTTGAAGACTGTTATCAGCTGTCCCCTCAGTTTTTTTTTTCTCAAGACTAAATATGCCGAGTTTTTGTAGCCTTTCCTCATAAGTCAAGTTTTCTAAACATTTTATCATTTTATTTGCTCACCTCTAGACTCTCTAATTTTTCCACATCTTTCTTAAAATGTAGCACCCATAATTGGATACAGTACTCCAGCTGAGACCTCACCAGTGCTCAGTAGAGCAGGACAGTTACTTCCTGTATCTTACATATAATACACCCAAAAATATTAGCCATTTTTCAACTGCATCCCAGTGTTGACTCATACTCCGTTTGTGATCCACTCTACCCCCCCACCCACTATCCTTTTCAGCAGTACTACCACCTAAATAATTATTTCCCATTTTGTAGCTGTGCATTTGATTTTCCTTCCTAAGTGTAGTACTTTACACTTGTGTTTATTGAATTTCTTCTTGTTTAATTCAGACCAGTTCTGTTTGTCAAGGTCATTTTGAATTGTAATCCTCCCCGCAAAGTGCTTGCTACCCCTCCCAGCTTGGTGTCTTCTGGAAATGTTATGTGCATGCATTTCACTCTGTTATCCAAGTCATTAATGAAAATGTTGAATAGTACCAACTCCGGAGCTGATCCCTCCAGCCCCACTAGATACACCCTCCCACTTTGACAGCGAACCATTGATAACTACTTTTTGATTATGGTCTTTCAGCCAGTTGTGCATGCACCTTATAGTAATTTAATCTAGATCACATTTCCCTACTTTGCTTATGACAATGTCAGGTGGGACTTGTCAAAATCAAGATAAATATCTACTGCTTCCCCACTATCAAGTAGGCTGGTAACCTTGTCAAAGAAGGAAATTACATTGGTTTGGCATGATTTGTTCTTGACAAATGCATGCTGGCTATTCCTTATAACCCTAGATTCTAAGGCCAGAAGGGACCATTGTGATTACCTAATTTGCTCTCCTGTATAACACAAGCCATACAACTTCCCTAAAATATTTCCTACATGCTTATAAATGGATAGTTTAATTTGTTTCAGTATCTTTCCAGGTATCGAAGTTAGGCTGACAGGTCTATAATTCCCTGGGTCATCTTTGTTCCCCTTTTTAAAAATAGGTTTTATGTTTGCCCTTTTCCACTCCTCTGGGACCTCACCCATCTTCCATGAGTGCGCAAAGATAATTAGCTAGTGGTTCTGAGGTTCCTTCACTTAGTTCTTTAAGTATCCTAAAGATGAATTTCATCAGGCCCTGCCAACTTGAATACATTTAACTCATCTAAATCTTCTTTAATCTTTTTATCCTTATTTTGTCATACATGCCTTCCCCTTATTATTAATAGGGCTGTCAAGCGAGTTAAAAAAATTGATTCTGATTAATCGTGTGATTAATCATGCTGTTAAACAATAATAGAATACCATTTATTTAAATATTTTTGGGTGTTTTCCACATTTTCAAATATATTGATTTTAATTATGACACAGAATACAAAATGTATAGTGCTCACTTTATATTTATTTTTGATTACAAAATACATTTACTAGTAAAAAAAAAAAAAAAGTAATTTTTCAATTTCCCCATTGCAAGTACTGTAGAGCAGTTTCTTTATCATGAAAGTTGAACTTACAAATGTAAAATTATGTACAAAAAAACCTGCATTCAAAAATAAAACAATGTAAAACTTTAGAGCCTACAAGTCCACTCAGTTCTACTTCTTGTTCAGCCAGTCGTTCAAACAAGTTTGTCTACATTTGCAGGAGATGATGCTGCCTGCTTCTTGTTTACAATGTCACCTGAAAGTGAGAACAGGCATTCACATGGCACTGTCATAGCTGGTGTTGGAAGATATTTATGTGCCCAATGCACTAAAGATTCATATGTCCCTTCATTCTTCAACCACTGTTCCAGAGGACATGTGTCCATGCTGATGACGGGTTCTGCTTGATAGCGATTCAAAACAGTGGGGACCAATACATGTCCATTTTCACCATTTGAGTCAGATGCCACCAACAGAAGACTGATTTTTCTTTTTTGGTGGTTCGGGTTCTGTAGTTTCCACATCGGAGTGTTGCTCTCTTAAGACTTCTGAAAGCATGCTCCACACCTCGTCCCTCTCTGATTTTGGAAGGCACTTCAGCTTCTTAAACTGTGGATCGAGTGCTGAATCTGTCCTTAGAAATCTCACATTCATACCTTATTTGCGTTTTGTCGAATCTGCAGTGAAAGTGTTCTTAAAATGAACATGTGCTGGGTCATTATCCAAGACTGCTATAACATAAAATATATGGCAGAATGCGGGTAAAACAAAATAGGAGATATACAATTCTCACCCAAGGAGTTCAGTCATAAATTTAATTAACACATTACTTTTTTAACGAGCGTCATCAGCATCGAAGCATGTCCTCTGGAATGGTGGCCGAAACATGAAGGGACATATGAATGTTTAGCATTTCTGGCACGTAGATACCAATGCCGGTTACAAAAGTGCCATGTGAACATCTGTTCTCACGTTCAGGTGACATTGTAAATAAGCAGGCAGAATTATCTCCCGTAAATGCAAACAAGCTTGTTCGTCTTAGCAGTTGGCTGAACAGGAAGTAGGACTGAGTGGACTTGTAGGCTCTAAAGTTTTAAACTGTTTTGTTTTTGAGTGGAGTTATGTTACAAAAAAAAATTACATTTGTAAGTTGCACTTTCACGATAGAGATTGCACTACAGTACTTGTATGAGGTGATTTGAAAAATACTATTTCATTCGTAATAAAAAATAATATAAAGTGAGCACTGTACACTTTGTGTTCTGTGTTGTAATTGAAATCAATATATTTGAAAATGTAGAAAAACATCCAAAAAAATTTAATACATTTCAATTGGGATTCTATTGTTTAACAGTGCAATTAAAACTACGATTATTCGCGATTAATTTTTTTAGTTAATCGCATGAGTTAACTGCGATTTATCAACAGCCCTAGTTATTAATATTAATTGTGTTGAGTATCTTGTCACCATTAACCTTTTTGGTGAAAACTGAAGCAGAATGTGCATTGAATACCTCCAGCCTTCTTGATGTCAGCAGTTATTAGTTCTCCTTCCCTACTAGACAGAGGACTTTTTTTTTCTTGTTCCTAATGTATTATTAAAGAATTTCTTATTGCTTTTGATGTCCCCTGCAAATTGCAACTCATTTTGTGCCTTAGCCTTTCTGATTTTTGTCCCTTCATGCTTGTGCTATTCTTTTATACTCCTCTATAGCAATTTGTCCACTTTTTCCAGGATTCCTTTTTGATTTTCAAGTAATTAAAGAGCCCTGATAGAACCATATTGGTGTCTTACTATTCTTCCTATTTTTCCTTTGCATCATGATGATGATGATGATGATATACTAGTTTCTGAAGTATCAAGTTATACAACAAAATAGAACTACTAATTGGCTACAGAGCTGAAAGCCATGTCCAATTAACTGAAATGCTGCGCTTGATTTAGGGTTTGTCTAAATTAGGAAAAGAGATTAGGTTGCAATTAGCTAACATCAGACTTGATTTCTCTTTCTAATCTATACAAATTTTGAGAGGATCTACTCTTCCTGCTCCCTATAGCTGGATTTACATACTCTGTTCTGACACAGAAATATAATTTTGATCTCTTTGTATTTCCTACAGAGGGAATCTGTTTTGTTCAGTAAAATACTTTTTTCATTACTTAGGAACTGGAGATGAAGAGGAGTATGTTGATGATTTCAACAGGTAAGAGAAAAATACTTATATTGCTACAGTGTGATATTTAATGGATAGTAAACATCATTCAGTTTTCTAGTTACATTGAACCAGAAGTAGATTCAGTCTTATCATGATCAGTTTGACATTGCTGCCATCTGTATGCTATACATCTGTGAATATAAATCTTCTTTATACTTTCTGTAGGCAGGAGTGTCCTCTAGATGCTGACAAGCTTTTGGGGTTTTTTATCAAAGAAAAATATGCTCTTCTTAACAATGCAGTTTTATCATTTACTTTTTTATACATTTTAATTAGTATTCTTAGCTAACTGTCTGTATACGAGTCCAAATTGAATCTTGCATCTAGAAAACTCAGCAGCATGAAGGGAAGACAATTGAGCAATAATATTTAAGGTCCTGAGCCTACAATTTACATGGCACAGCTTAATTTAGTTACAGTGTGTTCTCAAATATTTTTATCATTTAAATTTCCTTTCTGTAAAAATTGGGCTATCTAACCTAAAGATTCTTCCCTATAGAGGTGTGTGAGTGTGGTGGGAATTCTTGTACGGCAGAAAAAGAAAATCTAATTATTTTCACCTTTATTCTTTTTTTCTGTCATTAGTACCAGTCATCGCTCAGAAAAAAGTGACATCAGTATTGGTGAAGAAATAGAAGAAATTTCTGTGGAAATAGAAGACTTGAATGCCAGTGATAAAGTATGACTTTTATTGTGTGGACGTGCTTTTAATTTTTTATTAGATATTGTGGTTAGATGTTTGGCTGTCCTTTCTGGACAACTGTCATCACGTAATAAACACTTTGGGCACAGGTGGAAATAGTCATGCCATTCATTAAAACTGCCTTCTATTTATAACCATTCACTTATTGTTAGGGTTAGATTCTATACTGACTTTTTTTATTATTTATTTATTTGTCAAGTCATTTGGTCTAACTGTGCAGTAACTAACAGTTGAGAGTTTCTTGTAATCTTTTTGCATATGCTAGAGTTTTTATTAACTGCCTCAGTTGTGCTCATATTTTCATTATTCAGCACTGGCTATCAAATTTCCATACCTCCGTCTGCATTGTTAGAGTATATGCCCTTTCTAAATCGGAACGCTTTAAAGTATTTTTGCTGGGATTCTGTTGAACTCTGAGATATTAGAATTAATAGGTACTGCTACCAGCTGAATTGTTCTTTGGTGACAGCATGCTAACAGCCTATTGCCTACATCACCTTCCAAAAATTTTCAGTGCATTTTTAAAATTGTAAACAGGGCAAATGACTCCAAATCTACTTGATTTAAAAAAAATTTTTCTCATTTGAACCAATTGTTCTTTATTTGGTTGGAAAAATAAAGTAGTGGCATTAGGAGCCCAGTTCTATAAGGTATTTCTCATTAACTTAAAAGGCAGTTGAATGCACACAGTATCTGATATGTTGGAATTGATACAGAATCATAGAATATCAGGGTTGGAAGGGACCTCAGGAGGTCATCTAGTCCAACCCCCTGCTCAAAGCAGGACCAATCCCCAGACAGATTTTTGCCCCAGATCTCTAAATGGCCCCTCAAGGAGGGAACTCACAACCCTGGGTTTAGCAGGCCAGTGCTCAAACCACTGAGCTATCCCTCAGGATGGGGCCATAAGCTAGCAAGATGCTTTTTGCAGGACTGTATAGTTTAATAGATTTTGAAATGTAAATAAATATATATATCTTATCCGGTTGATTTTGTTTTCTAGCTTGAAGACCTCACACAAGATCTTACCATTTCTCAGTTAAGTGATGTTGATGTTGCAGATTATCTAGAGGATGTGGCATAGAATTGGACAGTAGAGATGTTTCAAGTGCTGAATTGAGGACTCTTGTGGACTGCTATTTTCAGACAATCATTCTTTGCTGGAATGTCTGTTCCCTATTTGTGCCTTGTGTTTCAGAAAGACTGGAGGTGTAGAGAGCTCTTATAAAATCATAGCAAGAACTGAATGAAATAGTTCATTCCAGCTTGAGTCTAATATTGGAATTGTTGTTCTTCGTCTGGTTCAGCGAAACCTTTCACACAAGGAGTTGAATTTTTCCAGCTGGATGTCCATTGCTGGCGATGGATACACAAAACCATCGGTCTATAGGAGAACATAACTGAAGAAATCAGCAAAGCTGCAGAACTTCTACACAGATGTATGGCTGTATAATGAATTTACACTGTTATCGTAACAGTCTGATTTTTAGCTAAGATAAGCAAGAAAACTTAAGAGTTACTGCTTCAACTTACTAAAAACTTCAGCAGTCTATATGAAATTTACATAATATCTAATAAATCTTCCTCAGTTCCTAGTCACTCCATGCCTACTTTAAGGGGTCAAGATTTTTCAGAAGTGACTAGTGATTTTTGGGAGCCCAACTTTGGAGGTCTGTCAGGGGCCTGGTTTTTAGCATTTTCTGAAAATCAGGCCCCTTTAAGGTGTCTCCAGTTGAACAGCCCAAACTGAGGCACCTAAAATCAGTAGGCACTTTTGAAAATCTTGGCGGAAGTATCTGTCAACTCTGAACTTTCTTGTTTTAATGTATTTGTCAGACCATTAACGTTACTCTGAACTACTTTTTTGGTGATATAATTTCATTAATGTTAACAGCTGTTAAAATCCCAATAAAAATGTGAGATTCCTTTATGATCCACAGATCATAATACAGAATAGCAAAATTTCTGAGAAGAGCTGTTTAATGGTTTGTGGAGTTCATGTTACTGGGCGGGATCTTAATTTGTATTGACTCACTTTCATTGTTTAAAATCCATATTTGTTTTAAAAAAGAGCACCAAAAAAGTATGAAACAATTAAACTTCTCTGTGTATCAGAATCTAATGACTAATGAATGGATTTAAACCCAAATATTTAAAAATAATACCGGGCCTAAGATATTGAACACACTAAGTTATAGCCAGGAGCACATTTTTGTATTTCCATTATCAACTCTTGAAAAACAGAGTCAGTAATGGAAACATTGACAGTTTCTTAACCATACTGTCATGCATAGCACTGCTGTAGTATATAGGTCATGGACATTTGTAATACTGAAACAAGCCTTCAAAATGTGTATTTTTTGAGCATTGTTAAAAAAAATACATGGGAAAAGATGCATGTCAGTGAATATAAAGATAATCACCTTTTTGTAGGCTTTGTAATTTTATTTCTGGTAAACTAGTAGCCATTTCAATAACAGTAGCATGTGAGACCATCTCCACTGGTACAGCTTATAGAGCTGCTTTACTTTGATTTGAGTCTGACTTAGGCTCTTACACACTGAGCTAGCAGATGTGGGGCTGTATTGGAAGGTTATACTTGGACAGTAGGTAGATTATTTGAGGGCAGAGGGGAAAAGTGACTTTTATTTATGTGCATCCCCCAAATAGCCAGCATAAAGCAACAGAACATGAGCCATGGCGTCAGCGTCTTACCTTGTTCCATAATGTAGCGGTCTTGAGCACAGAAGAGAGATTTTCCCCAGGCTCAGACCATCCCAGAATCTATGTGCCACAGTCTTGAAGTAGCAACGACCTTGTAGCATTCACTATTGAGGTTGAGATTCTTTAAGATATGGGAGATCTTGTGCCTAGAATTACTACCTGTAAAGGAGGACATGGGGAAAAATAAAGCAGCAGCACGTCTGAGGGTGTATTCTTCCACTAGAACTTCCACCGGAGGCACTTAGAACATAAGAACGGCCATACTGCATCAGATCAAAGGTCCATCTAGCCCAGCATCCTGTCTTCCAACAGTGGCCAATGCCTGGTGCCCCAGAGGGAATGAACAGAACAGGTAATCATCAAGTGATCCATCCCCTGTCGCCCATCCCCAGCTTCTGGCAAACAGAGGCTAGGGACACAATCTTTGTCCCTCCTGGCGAATAGCTATTGATGGACCTATCCTCTATGAACTTACCTAGTTCTTTTTTGAACCCTGTTATAGTCTTGCCAGAGGCTGTTGTGAAGGCCAGAGAGTTCTACAGGTTGACTCTGCATTGTGTGGAAAAAAATGCTTCCTTTTTTGTTTTAAACCTGCTGCCTATTACAGTAAAAGCTGTATTATCTGGCACTTTACCAACCGGAAAGCTCTAGAAACAGTCATTTCTAATATCTCCCAATACAAATCTTCAATCTAGTAACCGGGACCGATGCTGAAGCTATTCAGGACCTGAGTATTTCTGAGAGCAGTCCGACTACCATCGAGTTAGCCGAGAAGAGCCAAATGCTGTTCTTTCTGTTTGAATCTGCCATTGTGATCGGTTGGTTTATTACTCGGTACATTGTCTGGTTTTTATCGTAAAACATCAACGCAACCCTACCATTATGGCATCCAAAATACCAGCAAAAAGCAAAGGAGAGAAGCATAAGAGAATTGTGTTGACATTAAAACAGAAAATATCTATTTGTACATGTCTTGAAAAGGGCGAGAATAGGAATATTTATTCATTTTATTGTATTCTAATTCTTTGAAAATTGTCAATCCATTGGTAAGTATAACTCTTAGTTATCCGGAATTTTAATCAACATGTTTTGTAACAGTTTTTACTGTAATTTTATTTGGTAACCCCTAGTTCTTGTGCTATGAGAGAGAGTAAATAACACTTCCTTATTTACTTTCTTCACACCAATCCTGATTTTATAGGCCTCTATCATATCCCCCCTGAGTCATTTCTTTTCCAAGCTGTTTTATTAATCTCTCCTCATATGACAGCTATTCCATACCCATAATCATTTTTATTGTCCATTTCTGAACCTTTCCAATTCCAATATATCTGTTTTTGAGATGAGGTGACCACATCTCCTTGCAGTATTCAAGATATGGGTGTACCATGGATTTATATAGAGGCAATATATTTTCTGTCTTATTATCTATCCCTTTCTTAATGATTCCCAACGTGCTGTTAGCTTTTTTGACTGCCGCTGCACATTGAGTGGATGTTTTCAGAGAACTATCCACAATGACTCCAAGATCTCATTCTTGAGTTCTAACAGCTAATTTAGACCGCATTATTTTATATGTATTGTTGGGATTATGTTTTCCACCGTGCATTACTTTGCATTTATTAACATTGAATTTCATCTGCCATTTTGTTGCCCAGTCACCAGTTTTGTAAAATCCTTTTGTAGCTCTTCACAATCTGCTTGGCAAACATCCACATCTAACAGTTGGAGAAACTGAGTCATGGAGAGGTTAGGTGACCTGCCTCACAGAGCTAGGAATAGGCATTCTGGGTTTGGTCTCCTGGTTCACCACTCTCACCACTATTCACATTTGTAAAACAGTTTTGTTTTAGTAGCTAACAAGTTACCTGAACGTTTGGTTTCCTGATCCTCCTATAGGTTACACAGGCAAAACAGTCACCGAAAAGTCAAGGTGTATAAGGCAGGGTTGGTCACTGAATGTGAGCAAAGTGCTTTAACCCTAACATATCTATTACCTTGTGCACTCTTTTAATAAATCAGATGTGTGTCAGCGTTTGAGGACTGCTGTATGTAATGAGCCACATAACAAAAATGTTTTAGCTAAGTGTAGCATCATGCACTGTGAGTGACTACCCCCCCCACACCCACAGGTATATAAACTGACCCTCACATAAGACCATTGATAAAGAAACTAACAAAAGATGGGTGAGCTGTGTATAAATTGACCCACATCCTCTGTAAGCTTTCCTCTGCGTAGCACTCTTTTCACATTATTTCTATCTAGGGCTGCCACAACCTTTTATTCAGCTTCCCAAGTCTGTCTTATTATCTATCCCTTTCTCAATGATTCCCAACATGCTGTTCGCTTTTTTTGACTGCCGCTGCACATTGAGTGGATGTTTTCAGAAAACTATCCACAATGACTCCAAGATCTTTCTTGAGTGGTAACAACTACTTTAGACCCCATCATTTTATATGTATAGTTGGGATTATGTTTTCCAATGTGCGTTACTTTGCATTTATCAACATTGAATTTCATCTGCCATTTTGTTGCCAAATCACCCTGTTTTGTGAAATCCCTTGTAACACTTAGTTAAGTCCAAAGCAGCCTGCAATCTTGAATAGTTTTGTATCATCTGCAAATTTTGCCACCTCACTGTTTACACCTTTTCCAGACCATTTATGAATATGTTGAACAGTACTGGTCCCAGTAAAGCCCCCTGAAGGACACCACTATTTATCTCTCCCCATTCTGAAAATGGACCATTTATTCCTATCCTTTGTTTCCTATCTTTTAACCAATTACCAATCCATGAGAGGACCTTCCCTCTTATCCCATGACAGCTTACTTTGCTTAAGCGCCTTTGGTGAGGGACCTTGTCAAAGGATTTCTGAAAATCTAAGTACACTATATCCACTGCATCACCCTTGTCCACTTGTTTGTTGACCCCCTCAAATAATTCTAATAGATTGGTGAGGCATGATTTCCCTTTATAAAAACCATGTTGACTCTTTCCCAACAAATTATGTGCATCTATATGTCTGACAATTTTGTTCTTTACTATAGAGGGAGGGATAGCTCAGAGGTTTGAGCATTGGCCTGCTAAACCCAGGGTTGTAAATTCAATCCTTGAGGGGGCTACTTAGGAATCTGGGGCAAAATCAGTACTTGGTCCTGCTAGTAAAGGCAGGGGGCTGGACTTGATGACCTTTCAAGGTCCCTTCCGGTTCTAGGAGATGGGATATCTCCATTAATTTATATTTATTTATTTATTTATTTATTTTATAGTTTCAACCAGTTTGCCCAATACTGAAGTCAGGCTTAGCAGCATATAATTGCCAGGATCACCGCTAGAGCCCTTTTTTAAATAATAGTCACATTAGCTATCCTCCAGTCATTTGGTAGAGAAGCTGATTTAAATGATAAGTTACAAACTACAGTTAGTAGTTCTGCAATTTCACATTTGAGTTGCTTCAGAACTCTTGGGTGAATACCATCTGGGCCTGGTGACTTCTTCTTGTTTAGTTTATCAGTTTGTTCCAAACCCTCCTCTAGTGGCACCTCAGAATGGCTCAGGTTTGGGAATCTCCCTCACATCCTCAGCCATGAAGACCGATGCAAAGAATTAATTTAGTTTCTCTGCAATGGCCTTATCGTCCTTGAGTGCTCCTTTGGCATCTCAATCGTCCAGTGCCCCCACTGGTTGTTTAGGAGACTTCCTGCTTCTGATGTTCTTATAAAAAAAAAAATTGCTATTGCTTTTTGAGTCTTTGGCTAGGTGTTCTTTCCATTCTTTTTTGGCCTTCCAAGTTATATTTTTACACTTCATTTGCCAGAGTTTATGCTTCCTTGTATTTTCTTCACTAGGAAAGTCTAAATAATAAGATGGGTGAACTAGAATGCCTTGTATTAAATGAGGCTATTGATATAATAGGCTTTTGATATGGTCTCCCACAGTATTCTTGCCAGCAAGTTAAAAAAGGATGGATTGGATGAATGGACTATACGGTGGATAGAAAGTTGGCTAGATTGTTGGGCTCAATGGGTAGTGATCAATGACTTGATATCGCATTGGCAGCCGGTATCAAGCGGAGTGCCCCAAGGGGTCTGGCTTGCGGCTGGTTTTGTTCAACATCTTCATTAATGATCTGGGTGATGGGATGGATTGTACCCTTAGCAAGATTGCGGATGACACTAAGCTGTGGGGAGAGGTAGATATGCTGGAAGGTAGGGATAGGGTCCAGAGTGACCTATACAAATTGGAGGTTTGGCCCTAAAAATTCTGATGAGGTTCAATACGGACAAGTGCAGAGTCCTGAACTTAGGACGGAAGAATCCCATGCACTGCTACAGGTTGGGGACTGACTGGCTAAGAGGCAGTTCTGCAGAAAAGGATCTGGGGATCACAGTGGACAAGAAGCTGGATATGAGTTAAGTGTGCCCTTGTTGCCAAGAAGGCTAACAGCATATTGGGCTGCATTAGCAGGAACATTGCCAGCAGATTGAGGGAAGTGATTATTCCCCTTTATTTGGCACTGGAGAGGCCACATCTGGAATACTGTGTCCAGTTTTGGGCCCCCCACTACAGAAAGGATGTGGACAAATTGGAGAGAGCCCAGCGGAGGGCAACGAAAATGATTAGGGGGCTGGAGCACATGACTTACGAGGAGAGGCTGAGGGAACTAGGCTTATTTAGTCTGCAGAAGAGAACAGTG